TGGTTGTTATGCTCTATGACAGTCAGTTATAGAGGTCATTTCACAAGTGTCATAAACATTTGATTCTGGGAAATCATTCAGAAATGATTCAGGTTAAGTCAATGCAAACCGGGAATTAAACAAAAACGTTCAATGAGATTTGCAGTAATCCAATTCAGATTGTGCCAAAACCTGTATTTGCAATAGATTGAATGTGTGTATTTAACTGAGTTACCTGTATTTGTAATAGATTGAATTTGTATATTTACCTTGGTTGTCTTTGAAGAATTATTTCGAAGCAACCAAAATAAACACAATGGCATTTTACTTAATAACTATTTTATGTGTTTGCTATATTTTAAGGACTTTATCTTTATGACCCAAGACAATGTCCTATTGAAGACACTAAGTTGCAGGAACAATAAATTTTAAAATGCATTAATGTCTTCCTTTTAGTGAGCCTAGAATTATACAGCCATTCACACACACACACACACACACACACACAAGTAACTGTTTACAATAAGAACTATAATAACATTACAACCACTGCCTTATTGAATGCTTGCTATGCCCTGAGCAGTATATGGGGCTTGGGTGGCCTACCTCCTAGCCCTTTGTCTCAGTGTGTGAAGTGGCTGCAATAAGCCACAGTTAGAGAGTTTGAGTAGCTAGACTACAGACACTTGGCTAGGATATAGCAGTGCTTTTAAAATTTGCAAGTTCCCTCCCCATAACTTTGGACAACGTTATCTTAATACATCTTTTACCTTCAGCTGTACCATCGTGAGAAAATGGAGCATCTCATCACATGCTGTTTTGGTCAAGGAATAGAATTATTTACAATGCATGTGCTTATTGGCAATATGCTGTCACACCCTTGACGGATTTCTGCTGAAGCAGCACCTTTTTAATGACCTGGGATTCCTGTGGCCTCAAAGGCTGAAGTCGGTGCTCGCAAAGTCAGGCTCTGAGGACATGTGGTTTGCAACAATATCATTCTGTTTCCGTTGGCTAAAGGGTTGCCATTAGGACCAATAAAAAGTTATCCTTCATAAAAAATGTAATGCTGGAATGTAATGAATAAAGTGCTGAGTGCAATATCCCTAGACCAGTAGCTAAACAAGCAGCAGCCTCAATCCCACCACCGTGGAGTGGGAGGAGGCAATACTCAGACATCCATGCTAATAAGCTGGAGTCAGTGCCAAAGGCTGCTGCAAGCCACAGCTGGAGAGCAGCAGGAGCAGCCAGCAGCTGGCCTGGGCTGTAGCCTCAGGGATTCTCAGCAAAGGAAACAGAGTGACCAAGAAATGAACAACAAATTGCCAGTGTCTGCAAACAGCAGTCCTGCATGGACGGGTGTGCATCATAGAGAACATTGCTACCCTCACGGGGTGTGTGTGCATGTGTGTGTGTGTGTGTATATGTGTGCATATGATGTGTGTGAGAGAGAGGATGAGAGAAAAGAGAGAGAATTGCTAGCACATTCTGGCTCATAGCAATCCAAATAGTTTGCTCATTCAATGAGAAGAACTGTTAAGTTGATGTGATAGTTGCATGTTAGGTATTTTACTTACTTGCAGAGTTTTGAAATTAAAAAGAAAACCGTGAAAACGCTGCATGTCCAAATGTACCATGCAGGTCTCCGTGAAGTGTCCCAGGGACGCTCTCCAGAAACGGCTGATGTTTTTCCCATGGTGTTCACTTGTTCAATTTATGGCCTTTGCCCAGCTCTGCCTAACTCTGAGGCCTACCCCCCTCCAGATCCATTTATGGGATCTTTATCCTGCAGTTATACAGACTCTGAGAAATGTCAACCCGGCAACCTGAGACATGTGGACAGGATCACAGTCTCCCCGACTAGGCCACCATCCTTAGCTTGAGAGTCAATGTTGACCTTAGAATGTTTTTTTTAATGAAAGAGTCAGATTACCAAGTGAGGATTTTTCACTTGTGAATTCAATAAGCACCTGAAGTGACTTTGACTCTGGATTAACAAAATACACAATCCGACAACCATTGGAAAACGACCATGACAGCCCACCTTCCCGTCAGCCTGCAGACGGAGCCACCAGCACAGACTTGAGCCAAAGTCTTGCTCCAGTCTGACCTGAGACAGTCTTAGCTCCAGTGTTCTACTTGGTTCAAGGCTAGATGTCACGTTAGGTGCGTGCTGGCTTCTCTAGCACAATAGACTGATAAATTTCAAGCAACAGAGTTCTTGGATTGGGCAGTTCAAGATCAAGGTACTGGCAGTCAGTGTCTGGGGAAGGGCTTCCTGCTGGGTTCCGGTATGCCAGGAGAACTGAAGGGCATGAAGGGTTTAGTGCTCCTTTTATAAGGGACTTCTTTCTGTGCTTGAGAAGTCACCACCACCTAATCTGCTCCCAAGGTCTCCACCTCTGAGTACGGTTGCAGGGGACACTAAGCTTCAGTGCATGAATCAGAGAAACACACTCAGACCACAGCTCTTTGCATATACGCTTGGTTTCTTTTTTTTTAAAAAAAAAATTTAGTTATTTTTATTAGAAAGGTAGACTTACAGAGCGGAGAAGAGACAGAGAGAAAGATTTTTCATCTGCTGCTTCACTCCCCAAGTGGCCACAACGGCCAGAGCTAAGCCAATCCGAAGCCCGTAGCCAGGAGCTGGTTCCGGGTCTCCTAAGTGGGTGCAGGGTCCCCAGGCTTTGGGCTGTCCTCCACTGCTTTCCCAGGCCACAAGCAGGGAGCTGGAAAGTAACTGGAGCAGCCGGAATATGAAGCAGTGTCCATATGGGATCCGGGCATGTGTAGGGCAAGGACTTAAGCCACTAGGCTACTGCTCCAGGCCCTCCTTTTTTTTTAAGATTTATTATTTATTCATTCAGTTAGCTATTTGAAAGTCAGAGATACAGAGAAAGTGAGAGGAGAAACAGAGATCTTCCACCCACTGATCTGGTCTCCCAAATAGGCAGGCCTGGATCAGGCTGGAGCCAGGAGTAAAATTCCAACCATGTCACGTGTCCTGTGAGTACAGGGGCCAAAGCCTCCAGGCCATCTTCCACTGCTTTCTCGGATGCGGGAATCTGGATGGAAAGCGGAGCAGCTGGGCCTCAAATCAGCACTCAGATGGATGTCAGCACTGCAGGTGGCAGCTTAACTCACCAGCTCTGTGCTTGATTTCTGAGGTCTAAATTGCTTTGCTATTGTTTTGGAACAAAACTGAAAAGTTCATTCACTATCACTTCTCGGCCTTTTGGATAAGATCAAGTGAAAAGATCAGATCAGTCACTCTGCTGAATATTTTAAAAATAAGCAGGTTTGACAGGTTTGCTGGCTAAGCAGATGGAAAGTTTGTAGGCAAGTGAGTCTTAATACTTAAAAGGCCACAGTACTAGTGACAGGAGTCCCAAACATTAGGGTTGCTTTTAATCTGGGGGGAATCTAGGTCATATGCAGAAAGATGGGTTAAGAGGTTTGGATCAACATATACATAAAGCTGACATAAAGCCCAGGACAAGGAGTAAAAGAAAGACATAAATAGCAAACAGTAGCTCAACCCAAACCAGACCTAGGGAAACACAGGGAGGGGTGCTCACTCTATACTACTTCCATGTCCAAAATTATTTTTACACTGGTTTCCAAACTGTTGGAGGAATGTTGAGAAACACAAAGAGAAAGGGAGGGAAGAATTAAAAGGAACCAGCTGGAATGGGTCACTGGGTTAGAGTCAGGGCTGTGGCTCCGTGGGTTTAGCCATTCTTTGCAACACCGCAGTCCCAGTTGGGCACCAGTTGAAGTCTTGTCTGTTCCATTTCCAATCCAGCATCCTCGTAACATGCCTGGGAAAGCGGTGGATGATGGTCCATGCACTTGCACTCCTGCTGCCCATATCAGAAACACGGACCAAGTTGCTTGGTCCTGTCTGCAGCTTGGTCCAGCCTCAGCTGCTGGGACCATTTGGGGAGTGGCGCAGAGGATGACAGCTTTCTTGCTGTCTCTCCTTCTCTCTGTGTAACTTCGTTTTTCACATAAAATACAAAATAAATCTGAAAGCCAAAAAGGCCTCGAGCCTGAGACATTAAATTGATCTAATTGAAAGAACGCATTCCATGTAACCACTGTCGTTTGAAAATATTGAATTATATTGTTCTGTCTGATTCTGACGAATCAATCCAATACAGTCACTGTCCACAGCAAGGGAATTCCCAATTCAATAATTTGTGTGTCCATCAAGATCATTTCTCAGGAAACTTAGTGACTATGACTCAACATAACATAGCTTTATATGTTGAGATTTATGTCTCTACATGTTAAGGCTTCAGCAAAATCATTACAACCAAAAAAATCTAGCTGCTTCATTCAGCAAAATGTCAACACATTAAACATTTGGAGAGTCAATTATTGTTGCAGCAAAATTCCAGCCAAACTCCCCAGATGTGACGAAAACCACATTTTTAATCACTCTGCTTTCTCTCTACATTTAAGTAGTGACTGTCTGGGCTTCTGTTGATGGCACTGAGCTGTTTAACTCTTCCTATGGAAGTTACACATTTTAAAAGATCTGTTTACTTACCTGAAAGGCAGAGAGAGAGAGAGAGAGAGAGAGAAAGAGAGAGAGAGAGAGAGACAGCGAGCGAGCGAGCACAAGCGCTTCCATTTACCGTTTGACTCTCCAGCTGGCTACAACAGCCGACCAGGACTGGTCCAGACTCAGCTCAGGAGCTCGAAGCTCCATCCAGGTCTCCCATGTGGTAGCAGGGGCCCAAGTTCTCGGGGTATCTTTCCCAGACACATAAATAGAGAGCTGGATAAAAACAAAGCAGCCAGAACTTAGATATGGGATGCCAACCCTGCAGGAGGCAGCTCAGCTCACTACGCCCCTATGCCATTCTCAAAAAGCTACAGATCTTGGATGCTGTATATTTGAAATGAAAGGGTGCATGATTTCAGTCTTAAAAATAATCCATTTCAGTGTAGAATTATGGACCCTCCCTAAAGTGAGCATGAACCCTAATCGCTCCTCTTATGCTCTGTTGCAGAAGACAGCAGATGTGCGTCCTCTCATGCCACGTCTTGCTCCGAGTGCCTCGCGCTGGGTCCTGAATGTGGATGGTGCATTCACGAGGTGTGCCTTTTCTGTCTTTCTTCTTTTCCATTCCTCGCAATTGATTTTTCTCAACAAATCGGTTTCATTGCCCTAAGAGTCTGTGCCTTGAAAGTGCATTAGGAGAAAGATACAGCTTAGTGTCAGGAAAATTTTTCCTTGATTTTTATCTGGCTGGATATGAAATAAATAACATTTTTTATTAGGAAAATGATGGTAATGTTTAAATGAAGTGCAAGCCATTTTATGCTTTCCATCTGTTCTATAGAGAAAATTGGCAAACATAGGCAGTAACTCTTGATAGTTCAATGAGATTTGGTGTGACATTCCTGTTGTAGCCTGAGGTTATATATCCCCCTTGGATCACTCATTTGTACTTGCTTATTAAAGTAAAGCCAGATAATTTATGGAGCTGTTTCATTAATTTTATTTAAAACACTTGAAGATAAGTGATTTGCTCCATTTCAAAACATCATGAATCAATTTGTCAGTTACTTATGGAAAATGCAGTATTTCACTTTGGACATGAGCCTCTCTTCACGAGATGATTTATACATTTAAATTATTTAGAAGAAGAGTAATCCAGAAAATGTTTATTACTCAAAATTAGCACTCTAGTAGCGTACCAAGAGAAGCAATAACAAAATTCGCAGTGAAGCTATTACCGTGAATTCCTTTTTTCTTGGCTCCCAAATTGTTTTTGCAAGTTTTTCCTATTGCCAGTGGTCTTCCATCAGAAACTCGTGCACTGCACTGAAGGAGCCATCTGCTAAATCATGAGATTTCCTTGGTATTTTACCGTGACCCATGCAGCTCCCGAGAATTGGGACAAACATATCACTCGTTGCCTTTTGTTTAACACATCTCTAGCTTGTGCCTCCTCTTACTCGGTTCAACTACTGCACCCAACGTCATCTTTCTAACCTTTCTTGGTACTGCTTGCCATGATGCTTTCCTCAGGAGAAATAGGAAAGCAGAGCAGTAGAAAAGGATGTCTGGGGCCCGGCATGGTGGCGCAGTGGTTAAGGTCCTCACCTTGCACGCCCGGGATCCCCTATGGGTGCCGGTTCTATCCCGGCAGCCCCGCTTCCCTTCCAGCTCCCTGCCTGTGGTCCAGGAAATCAGTCGAGGACAGCCCAAAGCTTTGGGACCCTGCACCCGTGAGGGAGACCCACAAGAGGCTCCTGGCTTCGGATTGGCATAGCATTGGCCGTTGCGCTCACTTGGGGAGTGAATCATCAGACGGAAGATCTTCCTCTCTGTCTCTCCTCTCTGTATATCCGCCTTTCTAATAAAAACATAATAAAAATAAATCTTTAAAAAAGAAAAGAAAAGGATGTCTGCTACCTCTTAACTCTTGTGAAACATGTCAGGATAGTGGGAAGGGGGAACCTCACAGAACAGTAATTGCATTTAAGAGCCAGCGCCTCTTGCGGAGTTTTCCAGAGCTTTATCAGTGAGAAATTAGACACCATTCATATGCTAGGACGTACATCACGAGAGCTAGGTCCTGTCAGGGGAGATGATGTCAGAATCACTGGGTCAGTCCCATCACTTCTATGAAGCAGGTGCTCAGTTTGAGTCTGTGCCACTCTCTGTTTCCTCAGCAAATTTCCAGTGTGCATCTGGATTTTGTCTGGTATGATACTTCCTGGCTTGATATTTCCTGACCTGCAAACCACCAGATCCAGTTCAGTTGCAGCTGTGGTCTTAAGAAAGATCCAGAGATCCTTGATACGTGTGCTAACCTGGAATCAGATGCTGAGCACATCTGTCATCGAGGGTCATCGAGAAGAACTTTTAACATGTGTTGCAAAAGCCCAGTAGTCAGCCACGTGTAAATGCCATCCAGAGCGTCAGGCTCTGCAAAGGCCCCTTTCTCCAGTTCACACATCTGACCAGCACAGAACATCCTGGAGAGTCATGACTGGGAAAAACACTCATGCCAATGCGAAGGGGGATTTTGAGTATTCATGGGAATGGACAGTCAGATTCAGGGAAAGACAGGGGGAAAACAGGTGGTTGCCAGAGGAAAGGAGGGACCTGCAGCCAGTCCTTTGGAATAGATTTGAGAAAAACTGTTTATTCATTCCCTTGGCAGCACAGCCCCCCCCCCCAAATGTCCTTCTGTGTATTACAGTATAACTGACTCTATGCATTGAAAAAGAGGCTCTGCAAAGATGCTGAGTTGGAGTCAAGTCCCAGTATCACAGGTTCTAACTGTAGATGTTGAGGTTAAGATGGCTTTCCCTACCTCAAAAATGGAAATGCCAGTTGGACCTGCCTTAGCAGGCTGTACCGATGAAATGACATTGGGATGGGTTATACACGGAGGCATTGCTGAAGAAATGGGACTTACGGATAGAGCAGACCCAGGAGAAGGGAAACAAATCCTTCCCTTCCTGACATCCCCCAATATTAAATGAATGAAAGGAACAATCGATGTGAAGTTAGCCACAGTCATGGCCACCTGGGTTTTTGATCCTTGAGTAGGTGTTGGAGGCAGAAAATTCACGAGCAATTGTGATTACTGCTTTCCTTGAGGAAAGAATAAAGCATCCACATTAAAAGAAATCAAAATGGCACAAAAGGCCAAACATTAAAGAGGTTGTGGTTTCACACTGCTTTTGTTTTATACACAGTGGAAAGTAGGCCACATGAACAGGAACCATTCTCTTTTTTTATGCCATGGTCTTTTCTTTTCTTTTCTAACCTAATTGGCAAATTGGCAATGCTTGTCTAACTTCATTTTTACAATGGTGTAAAAAAAACATCCATGCTGATTCAAATATTGCAAAATAGTGGAGACTAATGTGCTGACTTCAGCAGAATTATTTGACATTTAAAGGTCAGATTTCACAGTTTGATGTATAGTTACAATGATTTAACCTATCTCTTTCTTCTCTGGTTCTGTATACACAATTAGCAGACTCTCTGGCTGAGAAGAATTTTTAAAAAGAGCTGTTGGTACTTTATTTCCTTTCCATGATGTGAGATCTTGGGGTTTTCAGATGTGTAAAATGTATGCAGCCTTTATCAGAGGCAGGTAATGTGATTCATGAATGGGTAACCATGTGTCAAGCTTCATGTCCCCTCTGGAGTTTTGTGTAAGTGGGGCCTTGGCCTGAGATTGTGTGTGTGTGTGTGGGGGGGGGGGTAATGTGACAGACCCTATAGAAGCTTCCTGGCTGCCTTGCTGCAAGGAACTCCTGGAAAGAAAGGAAGGAAGGAAGGAAGGAAGGAAGGAAGGAAGGAAGGAAGGAAGGAAGGAAGGAAGGAAGGGAGGAAGAAAAGAAAGGAACAGAAAAAGAGAGCGAGAGAAAGATTCATCAAGAAGCACCCCCAAATTTTGCCATTTAAATCCAGATGTGTGGTCAACAGCAAACCAAACTTAATCCTTCCGTGTCCATGAAGTCATTGGCCAGAAAATCCACCCTCAGGTCCCAATTGGAGAGAAGGAGCCATTCTCTCCTGATTTGGCTCATCTGTGACACGAGTGTGCTCCACATGTTTGGTTCCTGCTGTGACTATCATGTCCCATCATAGATGCACCGCACAGTGCCTATTGCACATTCTTCTTCTGTTCATTGTTTTACAGTCCTTTAAAATTGTAAAAAGAAATTTTTTTTTTCTAGCAAATATACAGAGACAATGCGTGGGTTACGTTTGTCGCAGTGACCGTAGTTGGCCAACCCCGCTCTAACTAGAGAAGGAAATTAAAATCTTTGTGTGAATGTTTTTAGAGTGCCAACTTCCTTTCCATCTAATTACTCACCAGTGACAGGGATGTCCCTGGTTGTAATTGGTGACTTCATATTCAACACTTACATCTACTTAAACTTGATAACCCCCTTTTTCTACAAGCCTGGGACATTCTGCACTTCCCCTAAGTTTAATTCCCATGAAAATCATATTTACTTGCTTAGTGACTAAATTAATCCATGACTGTCGACATCTATGTTACGAGCTCTATATTCTTCCATTCTATTCTCAGAACCCAACAAATCACTGTTTCTGAGTAAGTATTCGATCAACATCTTGTGACTGATCAGTTACTTAATTGGAAGGCCAATCTGAACTAAAGAAGGAAAGTTGAATATTATCTCAAAATAGCCACTAACTGGAATACCATTGCACATATAGGCAAAGCAAATATCCCAAATAATCCAGACCAAAATCATGTCTGTACACATATCTATGTGAAGAACATTGTATAGATAGCATTGTGTAGATATTTGAAACATAGTTCCATACTATTTAATATATATACCACTTGTAGGAAATAAATTGAAATGATTACATGAAAAATAACAACTTTTCTGAAGCATGAATTAAATTTTAAGTTTGTTCCAATGTTACTGGATGCCTTCTGTTTTTCAAAAGAATTGCACACACACACACAGATTATCCATTTGCCACTTCACTCTCTAGTTGACTACAACAGACAATATTGTGCCAGCATAAAGCTAGAAGCAAGGCGCTTCTTCTGTATCTTCCACCTGAGTGTCAGGAGCCCAGTCACTTAGGTCAACTGGTACTGGTTTACCCAGGACATTAGCAGGGAACTGGTTCAAAATTGGAGGAACCAAGTTCCAAACCCATGCCCATAAGGAATGCCAGCATCACAGATGGCAGCTTTATCTACTACGTCTCCATGCTGGATGTTAGTGAAACTTTTGGATACAGTTGCAAATCATTAGAAACTAAATTGCAGTCTTATTTCTGTCTGACATGTGCATCTTCCTTGGACACCTGAATTATTTACAGACTGTGGTATGCTTAACAAGTTGGCTGATTGTTGGTACAGTATTTTGGGGGGGTTGCAATTTTTAATTAAGCATGTAATTTCTAAGGACTTGTTCTCATATTCGAAGAGTAACAGTATGCAATACTAACATACCAGAGGCTCACAATGAGAACCACTGAATTTGGGTTACTTTCTTTTGTATCAGTTTTTTGTCACATAAAATAAGGATTAAGTTGATATAATTTAACAGTTGATCAGTGAGGAACATTTAAAGTGCTTGGTTTAAAGATCCTCTCCAAAAATGCAATTTCTTCCTCTTAAGAATGATTTAGAAATTCAAGTCCTATTTCAGACAAATTTATCAGGATTCTTATTATAAATAATGTGCTGTTTTGAGTAGTGGCATAATGTATTTTCTGTTGTGTTGTAGTTCGGCTTCTTTGCAATATTTGCTCTGTTGTTTTGTTTTGCTTGTGCTTACAACTGAGATGATCTACACTAATCAAATCACCGATTTTCTTTGTTTCCAACAGGATTTCATTTCAGGCAGATTGAGGAGTGAGCGTTGTGATACCATTTCCAAATTAAAAAGCAAAGGCTGCCCAGTGGATTCCATTGAGTACCCATCAGTGCGTGTGACAATACCAAGTGGAAATGAAATTAACACCCAAGTGACACCAGGAGAAGTGTCGATTCAGCTGCGTCCAGGTTTGGTGATTTTAGATAGCTCTCTGATGATTCCTAACTGGAAATGACAGTTGATCTGAATTTGCTGGTGCTAAAGATAGGCTCATAACTGGAAATGACAGTTGATCTGAATTTGCTGGTGCTTAAGATAGGCTCAGAGTGAAGAGCTCAATTCTTGGCTTGATCATGTTTATAGCCAGCGGTGTGGCCTTGGGTACCATGCAAACCCGAACTATGGGCCTTGATCACTTCATGTGATCACACCATGACATGCTCATTTTCCAACTCCACCATCAGCACTGAGACAAAGGCAACAGGTTTCATTCCACTTCTGCTTTTCCTGCTTCCAACGGCCAGCAGCATGCTGTCACATAGTATGCAGCATTCCGTGACTAATGAGTTAGCAGATGAGAAGTAAGCTTTATAATGAACTTGTGGCCTCAAAAGTATACTATATGATTGTTGTAGTTTCTTTGGGCAGCTTTATAATGGCCCTCACCTCCTCTACTTTTCCCAAGTTTCCTTTTTTGTTACAGCATTTCCTATGTTTTAACAGAAGTTATATAGGCCCATGGAAAGTATTCTTTTCTTGTAATGCTAGAGAACCTAATTGTACAATTACACAGGGAACAACAAGTTGAGATACACAGATACACTCAATTAGACGGATCTGGTTTTAGGCAGTATGCCGTTGCCCTCAAGTCATCGTAACTTAATTCTGGGTGGTGCTACCCTGTCATTAATTTTTTTTTAATAACCACTCTTGACACAACCCCATCCCTTTCCACAATTGAGCTATTTCTTACAGGCTATTTGGTTACCAGAAAAACAAAATCTACTTCTTTCTTGGCCCAAGCCTTATTTCCAGCTGCCAACTAAAACTCTCTTCTTCACCATGTAAATACTGATGTTGCCCAGTGTGGGCATATATGAGCAACAGCTGGAAAGTGAGCCAGAAAGCCAAAAGTTGTTAGGTTGATAAGATTGTGGATCTTTTGCCACCTTGATTGCAGAAAATCGTTTAGAGTCACTAATGAATTATTTGTTGGAAAAGCAAATATTTTATGCATTTGTTCACCTTATTCTAATTCAGCATATTCTCTAGACTCTGTGCTTAGATTTGGTTGTAATTTCATAAGCATCTCTCTCACACACACACTATTAATGTTAGCCTTGCCCAGACACCTTTAATGTTTATCTCTTCCCATTATTCTAATCAGTCCATTACCCTGGTTCTTTCTCATCTGTGAGAACCTTCCTGGATCTCTTCTTGAGACTTCTTACAACATCTGCAGCTTCTGAAGTGAACATTTGGCACAGCAGTTAAACTGCTATTTGGGAACTCTGCAAGAGTGCCTGGATTTAATGCCCTGGGAGGCAGCAATGATGGCTCAGGTACTCCTGTCCTTGCTACTCATGTGGGAGACCCATATTGAATTCTTGACTCCTGGTTTCAATGTGGTCCAACGCTTTCTGTTAAGTGGATGGTAGATCTCCCATCTTTTTCTGTCCCTCTGTCATTCAAATACATGATAATGTAGAATAAGTAAAACCCGCAGTTCCATCTTCTCAGCAATGCCTTTCCTTTGTCTATTACAGCTCTTTATGGCTTTAGTCTAGGCTCTCGCCTCTTCCAGGCTGAGGAACATTGAACTATAGCAAACGTATCACTGGATTGCATTTCAGTTACCTGACTCACCTGAGGCTATAGCTATTCCCCAATTCACACGTGAGTTTAAGAGCAAGATATTAGTATCATCGTTTGAAAATTGTATTTAAATGTTCTAGAACCCTGCCTCTACAGTCTCAATCCAGCTTTTACCTTCAGTGCTTTTTTTTTTCAAAATGAGAGAATCTAAAATCACACTTCTTACTGTGAGTAAACAAAGTACAATAAAATAATTAAGCATCATCCATAAACTTGACATCTTAGTTTGTTTGACTGCCTCAAGGAAATGCCAGGGATGGGGGTGGTATAAATTGCAGAAAAGGTAGGTTTTACAATCCCAGAAGAACTAGAAGTCCCAAGGAATTGGGGTTTCCAAGATCAGGGTGCTAGGAGATTTAGGTCCTGGTAAGGCCTCTCCTCCTGCCCTCAGGTAGCCAATTTCTCTGTATATCCTCACATGGGGGAGAAAGAGAGAGAAAAAAAGAGAGAGAAAGAGAGAGATTCACACAAATGCTCCGGTTTCTGATCTTACAAGAGCACTAACTTTGTGATAAAAATCTTACCCTCATGGCCTCAAGTAAACCAAACTGCCCCTTAAACGCTCATCTTTAAATACAGTCATGTTGGTGATTAGGGCCTCAATATAAGAGGAGAAGCTTTGGGTGGACAATTTCACCCATAGAATTTGGTATGTAAAATGGCATTTTTTAAAGGTCGTGGAATACTTCTAACAATCATATTTCAGGCATGTCAGATAATTCAATTCTAGAAAGTGAAAAATACGTTCAAAGCCAACATCTGTGAGCACAAGGCCAGAAAATTGGAAATCAACCCAAATGATAAAGATCAAATATCAGTAAAATTAAGGAAAGCCTAAAAAATTCCATCACCAGAAACAAATAAAAACCACAATCATAGACTCAAAATAACAAGAATTGCACACATCAAACTATATGGAATGAGACTGAAATTGTTCTCAGAATTACTCTAAGTATTAGATGTCATCATTATTAATGAAGAGTGAATAATAACAGATTAAACATCCAAAGCAAGACTTTTGAGTGCAGCAAAAACAAATGGCTATATCAAATCCAAGAGGAAAGCATTCTTAAAACAAAAGCAAGATTGAGTAGAGCAAAATGGAAATAAAAAAACAAAAGATACATATCTAGGAGCTAGTTCTCCATACAGCCTAATAAAATAAATGGTTGGCAAATCAGATGAAGAAGAGAGAAGAAACAAGGTAATTGTATAATTCATCACAGAAGCAAATATTGAAGCAGGAGACTTTAAGAAACTATCATACCAAAAATCTATAGCTGCTTAGAACTTGGTAACACTGACAATTTCCTAAGGAAACAGGTAAATTTAAAACTGATTCAGGAAAGAGGAAGACCTGTAGAAACTTAAATATAAGTATATAAGAAATTGAAATCCTACAAATGGTTATAACTATTCTGACAATAGTCTTTTATTTAAATAAGAGAAGTCTCTAAAGACACTAGTTCTAACTATTTGCATGGGAAGGAGTGCTTTGGCTCACTCTGACACTGCAGGAATGTACTCCCTGCTTTATGAGGATAGTTCAGGAGGTCCAGGCTAATTGGAACTCAACGGTATTTCTGGGAAATAGGCTGGCAAGGTATTCCAAATGAGACAGCCTGGGTTGGAGTCCCAGCTCTGGCTTCAGCTTTCCACTAATGCAAGCCTTGGGAGGCATCAGCGATGCCCATGGGATTGGCTTTCTGCCACACTGTGGGAGACCTGCGTTGTGTTCTCAGCTCCTGATGTTGCGGCCCCCTGAGATCACGGTGAGCTTGCTCTCTCTCCCTCTCCCTTAATAACTACTTATAAAATGATTTAAAATACATTTATCTTGGACATTTGGGATTCAAGGCAGACAGTTTTTCGTAGTAAGCATTTCCATGAACTTTTTGGAGCCCTCTCATGTGAATCTTACATAGCTTCTGGAGGCTTCACGGTTTTTTCAAGGTTAGGATCACCCTGCCAGTAAGTCCTTAACAAAAAGGTAGCAACTTTCAACTGCTTGTGGTAGGAGACAGAGTGTGGAATAGCAGGTAAAGCCGCAGTCCTCAATGCTGGCACTATCCCCTTTAGATGCCAGCTTTTGCCCTAGCTGCTCTGCTTTCAATCCAGCTCCCTGATAAAGGCCTTGGAAAAGCGTTAGAAGATGGCCCACCTGTTTAGGCTCTGCCAGCCAGCTGCAAGACCGAGATGAAGCTTCTGGCTCTGACGGACATTTTGGACCAGAGCATGAAGGATCTCTTTCCATCCTTCCTTCTCTCCTTCTGCAACTCTGTCAAATAAAATTCATAATATGTTTTTTAAATGCAAGTGGCAAGATTATCACCAAACCAAAAAAAAAAATGGTATTTTGGTAACAATGTTCCTAAAAAATAAACTTATATGAATTAGTATAATTTTCTAATGTGGCTAAATCATTTTTCCAGTATAACAATGAGGTCTTTACTGAAAGAACATTCTTTTATATTCCTCATATATATAGTAAATATGTATTAAATTGCTTTGGAAATAAATTCACCTTAAGATGAGTTTTGCCATCAACGACATACTAATATTAGGATATATCACAAAGAAGTATATTCTATCAACTACAGATATACATTGTAGAAGTCCTGTTTGCTATGGAGCATAAAAATATTAAGGCTTTGGCATCATGCAGATCTAAGTGCAAAATACGGGTGTACCCTGATACTGACTTGGAGGTAACATCATCACCTTCACTCTTAAATGATAAAATTTGTGACCTTCAATATAACATCTATGAAGTATTTTATGCTTTCCATAGATTTTTTTTTATCATGTCATAGACTGAGTAGATTCCTCAGACAATGGTATTGGGATTCTATTTAAAGTCAAATATTTCAAACAATCTTGAATAGATTGACATTTTTCTTCATCTTGTTGCTTAGTAAACTGCACCTTTTTTCGTCAGTTTTACTTATCAACCTCATATTAAAAACAGCAATAAAAGTAGACCACTTATCTTAGCTGATGTTCGTAGGACACTGCAATTGAATCTTGGGAAGGAAGGAGACAGAAAGAAATCTTCTACTTTGGATGCAAAATCACACAGTCTCTGCGATGAGGACTATTACGTGTGCTTCACCAGCTTAGGCAAATGTCTCCAGCTTGATTTACTTCAGTAAATCAAGAAGCCCCTTTTACACACGATAGTTCAATTTAAAATGGAAGGTTTCCCAAGCAGTTGCAGCTCTACCTTCATTTCGACATTGAAAAACAATGGAGACTTGCACATTCCCCCTCCTGTCTCTGCCACACACTCCTCACTTCTGCTTTCCCTAGAACT